CACTGCTAGTCCCTCAGACTTACCAATCCATTTGTTTTTTCTCTGTTCTAATTTCCCTCAGACTTGTCCAACTGTTGTTTTTCCTTTTCTTTATTGAGAAAAATTGCAATAAATGTGTTATATTTTATACAACAAATGCTATTTAGCTTTTGAGGTAATAAGGGTAACCTATCAATAACATACTTAAAAATTTCAAAAGGATTTTCTGACTTTATCATATGTTAATTTTTAAATTTAAAATCATTCACATGAGTTGTAGAGATATGAATTTTACACAAATTGTATGCATGTGTATCTTCTATTTAGCCCATGTATAACATGTGAATCATACTCTAGTATAACCATTAGTAGTCTATAAGAAGCATAAATTCAAGTCTTATGAAAGTATACTTTCATGTTACAGTAACTTGTTATGCTGACCCTACTACACTATTTTCTTTTGCTCTTATATTTTGGTTTGTAATCAATTTTATGAGATTTCTCATATAAAGAATTCAATATAATAATAATTACGAAACATATCATTTATGTTATAAGTAATTTTGTATTTTAAATTTAATCTTTATACAATAACTTTTAAAAATCAAGTCTATATATCTTTAAATTTATTACTATCAATTTTGATTATGATAACCTAACATTAATTATGTTGATGTGACCTATACTTAATCTTTTGAAACCGAAAATATCTATATGTAGTTTTAATGGATCACTCTTGAATGGCATGCAACCAACAGCTTTATTCTCCTCACCAACCTATATCCCCTCTATCTATTAATCATTTTATCCGTCACAGCTTTTACAACATCAAAATTAATTATTTCAATGCAAACTTTAAACGATACGAGATCAGTTGCAAGACTCTTGTTTTCAACTTAAGAGGCCATTAAAACAGAAGGCAAACCATGGCCAATAGCTTCACAAATGCCAAAAACCTAAATTCTGAAAAACCAAATATCCATCTTCTCATGCTCAAACTTTTTCTTTTCTTTTCTTGGTTTTAGATGCAACACTTGTATCAAGATTAATGCAGAGATCACATTTGCTTCCTTCTGTTTTCTATCATTTTTTTCCTTCTTTGTACTTGAGATTAAAAATGATAATAACGAGTGAAACTCAAAATTATAAGTATGATAATACGACAATAAGTAAAGAGAATCTTAGTTGTTACCAGTAACTAACTTGTAGTTATGCATGAGCTAAATTATATAACATCTTTTAGGTTTTTTAAATGAATAAAACATATGTAAAGTCATTATATAATATTGTAAAAATGAAATAAGATAAAGTAATTATTTATTTACACTGAATATAGATATTTCAATATCAAACTCTTGGGATAAGACAATCCTTTCTTGATGTGATCATGCTTTCCCCTTCTTCTTACCTTTTCTTGAACCCTCACAGTATTTTGGCTCACCACATTTTTTCATGATCAAAACACAATAGTTTATTTCTTAATAACAATACCAATATAAAACATAAAGAAGGGAAAATTTCACGTCATGATTTCCACTTGCCGCACTAGCATTAATGTTAGTAGCAAGTTGTTCTTTTGGCATATTTTTGTCCTTTTGTTCTCCTATAGAGAGGTTGAATTGTCATAAGTTACCTACACAAAGACAATAACGAAATGGTCAATTGTTGCATTTAATGCATGTACCTTGGCAAATTTTTTTTGATTTATCCCACCTTTGTTTTCCAATCCCAAGGCCTTGAATTGTCAAAAGTGGCCTACACAAAGATAATAAAAGGAAGTTAATAAATGAGTATATGCAGTACACAATTCAATGAAATAAGAGTCTTACAAGTTTGTTTCTCTTTATACATCCTTGCTTGTTGCAGTAGTCTTGAAGAGAGTAAACATGTGCCATTTTTTCTCCTAACTCTTCAATGTTTGGTCCTAGTCTTTCCTTCAAGTGTTTCCCTCTTTCTTTTATTAGTAAACCTACGAAGCATCCCTTTTATCAAAAGAGGCAAAATTGTTCCATCTACTATTTTGGGCCAAGTCATCCTTCATTTGACATGGTTCAACGTGTTCTTGTATGCACACAAATAAGTTTTCTTTTTGAACTATGAAGAAATATAATCAAGAGGGTTTAAGCCATTATATATAACAAGGTACTCCATTTATATCCTACCTCTTACATGTACATGAATGTTGTCATAACATCATAATGTAACTCTCCTTTCCTTGTTTTAATAAATTGTCTCAATAAACTTTGTTAGCTTTATTAGCTCTAAAATGATTATACTTTTGAAATGACAATATGATCAAATTTGCTTGAACTTATTTGAATGATCCTTGATTAATTCTTGAAGTTACTAGATTCTCATGCAATTACTTTAGAAATATCTATAAGCTTAATTGACTTAATTGTATGAGTGTTAAACTTACTTAGAATAAGTGTTATAATCTTCCTAACATTTATTGTTGAGATATTTGATTTCTAAGATAGGTTCATAATTCCAGAAGGATCAACCCCCACAACATCAAGTTTGACACAAAGTTAAGAAGGTATGCAAAAAGCTTAGCTAAAAGCTTATGTGATAAAGGCATTGGTCCAAGGTCGACTACAACTTCTTCATACTCGACCTTATATGCACAAATGAAGACAGAATGAAGTGAAGGCTCGAGTTTGGGGTCAACTACACGTCTTGAAACTTGGCCATAAAGCAGAAAGCAAGAAAAAATGAAGAAAGCTTAGAAGATCAACTTTTGCCTTCGAGAGTCAACTACCCAACTTTCATAATCGACCCTAGAAGAAGAAAAAGGAGCCAAAAAACCTCTAGAAGCTTGGAGAGTCAAATACATAATTTTCATACTCAACCCCAAAGCAAGAAAAAAAGATATGAAGTCAACCTCGGGTTGAGGGTCGAATGCCACGTTAAATACTTGACCCTCAAAGCGCAAACAAGAAGAAGAAAAAGTCTGAAGCTACAAAGGATTGTCTGCCACATCTCCATAGTCAACCCTAGATGATCGTTAGATTCCAAAAGACAAACAACTATTTTCTTTTTGAAATCAACCTCAACGGCTCCAATACTTCTCCAACTATAAAAAGGACCATTTAAAGCATTCAAAAGAATGGAAGAAGTGAGAGAAAAAAATCAAACACTCAAGAATCAAGCCTTGCAAAGAAAAGAGAGGAAAACCAAGCAAAAACAAGAATTCACTCTTGAGTTGAAAATTTATTTGTGCTTTCACTCCAATTGTAGTGTAAACTTTTTACCCATTCTTCCTTAGTTGTACTTACTTAGCAAAATCTACCTCTTAGGAGAGAAAAGGTTGCGCCTTAGCCTTCAAAAGGTAACATTGTAAGGATTGTGCTTGTTCTTGTAAAAAGGTATTGTGTGGGTTATGCTTGCTCTTGTGAAAAGGCATTGTAAGGGTTGTATTTGTTATGCTAATCCCGCAAGTGCATAGATCGCAAATAAATAATATAGAGCAAGCAAAGTATCGTTCCCACAAGAAAGTTGTATCAAGTACCAAAATTAAGGTTTTCTATATTATTTAGAAAGTTCAACTTAATTTAAATAAGGTTAACTAATCAAAATCTAAATTAAAGACCATCAATCACTTAAACTTTAACCAATAATAATTGCAATTCTAGGATTTAGATTTCATCAATTGAATTCCTATGATTAACTCATGATTGATTGATTTAACTTATCTTTTTAAAATTAATGACTAGATCACCTAAGGTGCATGATGTTCCCTTTTGAGATACAACACATGTTTTATATTAATCCTATGTCTACTTTCATATGACATTAATATAAACCTATTAAGTTCTATTGTAATCTATGCATTTGGTCATGTCTAATGTCTAATATAAAGCTTTTGAGTGATCCATGTTAGCTTCAATACATGACCATGAATTCTATTGCAACAATTCTTGGTGAAAGGGAACCACTTGTGGAGCCTCCTTTATTCAATGGCGAGAACTACATTTATTGGAAGAATGGAATGGAGTTCTTTGTTCTAGCCAATGATTATGAAGTTTGGTAAACAATTGTTGATGGTCCATACAAGCCAACCAAGGAAGAAAAAGAGTGGGATATAAGTGTCATTAATATGGTACAACTCACTGCTAAGACTATGCATATTCTTTTTTACGCACTTGATGATAATGATTACAAGAGAGTTTCCAAGTCTGAAAGTGTCAAAGAGATTTTAGAGAAATTAGAGGAGTTGTATGGCAAAAAAGGAAGAGAAATTGAAAGAAAAGCCTTGTGAAATTCAATGCTCAACATGTGGCAATGCAATTAGAGATAAAGAATCAAGTGAAATTCAATCCTCAATCCATTTAGATCATGCCTCATGACTCTTGAAGAGCTTAAGGAAAACTCTTCACTTTGTGAACCCAGTTTATATTCATTTGGTGACACCACTAAAAAATAAAGTTTTACTGACAGAAAAATTCGTCAATAAAGGTGTGCATTTTGTCAGTAATGTCAATTATCGACGAAATTACCCACTGAGAATTTCGTTAACAAACAATCGAAAATTTCATTGGTAATGGTATGAAATAAAATATTTTTTTAACTATTTAAATAAACATTTAAGCATATTTTATTTACCGTGTAAAAATAAAATAAAAAGTTTTTTATAAGAAAATAAAAAAAAATTGAAACCAATTTTAACATTTACGTTATAACTATTAATATTAATTAAATGTTTTAACGTTTATTATCATGAAATTAATAATTGATTGATATTCATTTTATTTAAATATCCATATATAATTTTATTAATTATATGATAATTAAATTTTAAATATATTTTTTAATCATATTTTTACTTTATTTAATTAGGTGTATATATTTGCATGCCACACTTTTATTTCATTTTATGTAATTAAGAATGTTTCCATACTCTTTTTATTTTTTCTTTATTTCCTCTGAATTATCCTATGGTGCTTAATTAGCTGTCAAATGGCAGCTTATTAAGCCTAGCAAGGGCTTTATAAATGGGGTAAAATTCAAAAAGCTCTCTCAAAATATTTCAAAATGACACTTTGGTACCTCTTGGTTTAAAACTACGTTTTTAAAAAAAATTATATCCAACACTACATAAATATTTTATGACACAAATGCCCTCTTAAAAGAATCGGTTCATATTTCTTTCCAAAACTTAATAAAATTCATTTTAATATTCAATAAAATTCAATATTTGACAGAGAAGGAAAAACCTTGAAATTTAATAAAATTTTAAAACGAGATTTATAAATGTGTTAGTTTGTCTCACTTTGATATTTAATAAAATTCAATATTTAATATAAAAGAAAAAAATTTAAAACCTTTTTTTCTTTTTGAAAAGCAGCTTTGATTTCATAATGGAAAAAAATACAAGGAGCTACCAACCAATGTAGGAACAAGAACCCAAAAAATCCAAATTCGATCAATAAATAGAAACCCAATATCACTCCCCAAGTTGTTTTCGTTGAGATCACCGGCTGTTGGATGCCTCATCTGCTGCCTTCCTTGTTGTGGCAATGGGGATGATTCCTTGTTTCTGTTTTGATTGTCTCTTTCTCATCTACTCCAAGCTCTCTTGCTGGTTCTCGCCTTTGTGAAGCTGCATTCTGTCAAGTTGCGCTCCAAGTGACATGGCTACCTCTGTGTCTTGTTGTGCGGGTTGTTTCTTCGTTGACGACTGTTCTGATTTTGGTTCTGCTCATTGAATTGTATGGCTAATCGTCGTCAGTGGTTTCTTTTTCCTGATGTGCCTTGTTGCTCCGATTGAGGCAACTTTTTGTTTACTGCTTTGCCAACTCTTTTATGTTTGAGCAAGCAACCTTCTGATTACTTGTGGTACTCCAGGAGGATGGATCCTGATTTTGTACCGCAATGATTTTTATGCAGTCTCTTTTGTAAATGTACTGGCCAATTCATAGTGCCATGGAAAGCCTATTGCTAATTTGCAAGAGACATATGGGTCTTGAGGCCAAAAACAAAAACGCAGTAGAGCTACAGCCTTTATAAATAGAGAAGGAAACCTACTACATAATGCACCATCAGATCTTTTAACTTTTGATATATAGTAATCAAGTTAAAATCTTTTTACATGACCTAAAACCCTAGTCTGAAAGAACAAATTTTGAGCAAAATTTTTTCAACAAAATTAATAATCACAAGTAAAAAATTAATCTCTTAATCCAATAACATCAAATTTGAAATATCCATTATTGAATAAAAGATTTACTTTTAATAAATTTTTTTCAATGAAAGAAAAAATTCTCAAACTATTAGGGAAATAAAGAGTCTAATGACAATAGACTTTAGCTTAAGAAAGAATTTTATGGTTTTCAAGATGAATAGAGCTTCAAATTTTCAGGCTTTCGCATCAAAATTTATTTATTTATTTTTATTAAGGTTTTTGAGAGAAAGATGAGTAGATTTTTTTAAAAAGAGAATATGCTTAAATATTCCAAAAATAATATAAAAGGTATTTATGTCTTAAAATATTTATGTAGTTTTAAATCTTTTTTTTTTAATTATTGATTAAATGTGTTAACAGTAGTTAAGGAGCTAAAAACATCATTTTGAAATAAGAGGGATCAAAGCGTCATTTTGATGTGTTTTGAGGAGACCTTTTAGATTTTACCCATCATAAATGGCAGCCAATTTAAATAGTATGGAATGTACATGCCAAACATGTTTTATTTATTTAAAAAAACCATGGTAATTGTCATTTTATGCAAAAGTATTGAGTTAAAATATTCATGTATCAAGTAAACTAATTTTTAAAATAAAAACTTGGAATGTCTATACCTAAAAGAGTATATTAACTTATTGGTTATTGATTTTGATGATATCTTTTTAGTATATTAATGCTACCAAAATTCAAAGAGAAAAAACCATGACAATCAAGTTGATATCGAAAAGATCTTGATAAAGGAACCTAAATTTTGATTCAATGTGGACAAGAAATAAGAGTGTGAGAGACAAATATTGATTGCATTAGAAATCAATAAATTTGAAGATTTTATTTATTTATTTATTTATTTTTGCAAGATGAAACTTAAGTTCGTGAGCATCTAAAACAAAATCATAAAATAAAGAATTTTTACAAAATATTTTATGAGGAATCTAATTTAAAAAATAATTGATATATATATATATATATATTATATATGCTGTGAAGCTCATTTGCCTTCTTGAAGATGACAAAACTAATATTGCTTACAGTCCGTGGTGTCCTAAAATCCTGTGATCTCATATATCTTTCTAAAGAGCTACAGCTTTTTTATTGGCCTAGATGTCCTTTAAAATCATTGCTTTCGAGCTTCCAACTAGAAAACCTCGTTGCACTTGCCCTACCCAATAGCTGCATTGACCGACTGTGGGAGGGAAAGAGAGTAAGTAATATGGCCTTTTAGCTTATCCTCATAGAAATTATAAATAATTTGAATATCATTACAAATTAACAATTCCTATTTTTATTGTTTCTTTGACAGCCTTTAAATAAGTTGAAAGTCGTCAACTTCCAAGACACCAGTCTTCACAAAGGCTTGAGGATCTTGAAAGTTCAAATTTGAAAGGGTGTATTAGCTTAGTACATGTCCATCCATCCATCCATCGTATTTCTACCCAAGCTTCAACTTTTAAATTTAAGAAACTGCAAAAGCCTTAGGAGTCTCCCAATCAAAATTGGAATCGAAGCTCTTGAAACATTGATTCTTTCAGGCTGCTCGTATCTTCGAAGGTTGCCAGAGATTGCTGGGAAAATGGAATGTTTGCTCAAATATAGATGGGACGTGTGTTAAAAAACTTCCCTCTTCATTTGGACATCTTAGCAGTCTCAAATTTCTTAATCTCTCGGGCTGTTCTCAACTTGCAAATTTACCACACTTGACAATGACCAAAAAATGTCGAAAGTTTGAATTTGAAAGGCTGTACTAGCAATTAGTAGATGTCAATCCGTCCATTAAGCTTAAACTTTTGAATTTAAGAGATTGCACAAGTCTTAGGAGTCTCCCAACCAACATTGAAGTGGGATCTCTTCAAACAATGATTCTTTCAGGTTATAAGAATCTTCAAAGGTTTCCAAAGATCATTGATGGGAAAATGGAACGTTTGCTGGAGCTCTATTTAGATGGGACAAGTATTAAAGAGCTTTCCTCTTCAGTTGGAGATCTCAGCAGTCTAAAAGTTCTTAATCTCTTGAGCTGCTCTGTACTTGAAAATTCACCTCCATCCTTCCTACGAAGAATATTTAGGAAGGGATGCGAAATAGTACTGTCAAGTCTGAATCCCATGCTTCTCAAAAAAAGTCCGAATTCAACGGCTCTGACTTTACCCCATTTCTCAGGTTTGAGCTCTTTAACAAAGCTGAAAATAAGCGGCAGGAATTGTGAAGGGGCTCTTCCTAGTGATATATGTAGCTTATCCTCATTGGAAACACTGATTCTTCGTCATAACAATTCTGTCAACTTACCAAGCTTCATTGTCTCGAATTGTCGGGTTGCAATAAGCTTGAATCATTGCCTGAACTTTCATCAAGCATAGTAGAGTTAGATAGTTGTGCTTCATTAGAAATAGCTCCAAATCCAACAAAATCATACATTCATTGGAAAACTAGAAGTGATTGCCCTTTATGGAAAAGGACGTATTCTTAGGGTGGTAATTGCTTCAAATTGGCTGCAAATGCATTAACGATGCTAAAAGGACATCTTAAGGTATATTTCTTCAACTCGCTTACCCTTACTCTCAATAATTTATAGTAGCAAATTAATAGATTAATAATGTATTTGGTATCTGAATTATAGTAAAATTATTGATATATTTAAACTTTATTTTCGTTGAATGGTTTGAATTTTTAATTAACATTGTTAGTCAAATCGGTGACTTGATAGAAAAATAATAAACAAGAATGTGTATGTGACTTACTTCTTTTTTGTTTTTATCTCCTGTTTTTGTTCTAATATTTTGATTTTTAATATTAAAATAGTAATTTTAAAATTTAAAATTTAAAAAATGACAAAAATTAAAAAAAGAAACCCAAGAAGTTAGGGAGAGAGAGGGCAGAATTGGGGGAGATGCAAATTATGTTGGAGATAAAGTTTGAATATAAATTATGTTGCAAAATGTGTATTTAACATTAAACTAATTACTAAATAACGGGGCTTTTTTTTTGCAGGCAATTGGAGATGGAAGACTAATATTTGACATTCTTATTCCAGGAAGTGAAACCTTTGAATGGTTAGTTCAATAAGGATAGCATATCCTCCCAATCTGCAAAATGATAGTCTGCGGATGGGAATCGCCTTGTGCTGTGTTGTTGTGCCTGCCTCCAACAATGGTGCTCGGCGTGATGTGGATATTTTCGTTTGCATTCTCCAAGTGCTGGTCCCATTTTAAAGTATATTGGTTTGTTTCAATCTAATGGCATTTCAAGCCGGATCTCCAAGGACCACCTTTGCCTCATGAAGAATTTGACAAATATCCAGGGACGAGAGATTGCGCAAGGAGTTGTGCTAGATTTGAGATTCTTTTTCTACGATAAAGGCAATGGTTCCCAGTTGAAGGTGAACAAGCGTGGGGCTTGATTAGTGTGTCCAAGTGATGTAGAGGACATGGACCCAACAATAGAGCAGCCTAGCATTCCAACTTCGCCAAAATTTTATCATATCCGCCATTATACTACTCATGGATCAACAGGCAATTGCCACTCTTTTTAATTCTTTGTGCCCACAACTTTTATACTCTTTTTAATAATCCTTTTATTTTTATCTGTTGTTTTTATTCTAATGTTTTAATTTTTAATATTAAAATAATAATTCTAAAAAGTTAAAAATCTAGATAATGACGAAAATTTTATAAAAATAAGAGAAAAAAAATTAGGGAGAGAGAGAGGGAGAGAGAGAGATCAAGAAGGAGAGGAAGCTGTAGTTCTAGCTGTTATTGGCTAAATGGACACCAATTTCTATTGTTTTAGCATGTTACATTAACATCATATGGTATTTTAATTAATAACAGTTAATCAATTATTAGTTGTTATTTGGTTTAAAATAAAATTATAAGGGTTAATTTGATTGAACACAATAAATAAATAATGGTTTATTTTAATTTGCTTTGAATGGTTTTAGGATTTTTTTTAGATATCATATTAATATTTTATTATTTAATTTTAAGATAATTTATTTTATATTTTATTTGTTCATATTCTAAAAATTTTTTATTTTAAATCTCAAAAATAAAATTTTTAAGAAAACCATATTTTTTTAATGTTTAGAATTTTCAAAAAATTGTTATTTGTCATGTTTAAAATAAAAATTTTTAGCAAAAAACATATTTTTATTTTTTCTAATATTTATTATTAATTTCGAAAATAAAAACCTCTTTTCAAAAAAAAGTAAAATGACATACGTTTTTTGGATAGATGGTGCATTTTTATTGATTGTTTTATGCCATGTTTCCCATCTAAGTAACACTATTAGGCAAACAGTTCAGATTGACTAATTAAATAAAGTTTTTGATTTAATTACGGATGCAGGACTGAAATTCACAAACGTCATACCTGCAAGTGTAATCCTTGAATGGTTTAGTCACCAGAGTGAGGAAACTTCAGTAGGGATACCATTACCTCCCAATTTGCAGAATGAGTGTCAGTGGATGGGATTCCCCTTGTGCCTCCATCCAATAAAGATGCTTGGCACGAGGAGGACACTCGCACTTGGATTCTTATCTCCAAGTGCTCGTCCCTATTTACAGGAGTTGTTTCAATTTGAAAGCATATCAGGCCGGATCTCCAAGGACCACCTCTAGCTACGCTATTTGCCTCGTGCAATATTAAATAAAGATCCATGGCTTAGATATTTGTTATGTAGTTTTATCCAAGTGATGGATCAGCAGGTAATCACTAGTCTTTTACACTGCTCTCACTTTTTTTCATTATTCTATTTGCTTTTTATATCAAAGAAGTAAGATCGAGGATTATGTGTTGTAAGTCTAATTTACGTTTATAACCTTTGTTCTTCATTTCCAGGTTGAAAAGGTCATAAAAACAGGATGGAGATGAAATCCTTTGGATATCGTTTTGATCCTCTTCAGCTAAGTTGTGTGAATGAAGTATTAATTAAACCTAAGTTGTATTGTAACATGCATTTGTATAAATTATTTTATTTATAGAGTCCAATTCAAAGCTTATGTTGTCTTCTTGTAGTTTATAGCGTTTTAAACCGTGTGTGCTGAGCGAAAAAAATTTTAGTCAAAAGATCTATTCGGTTCTTATACTTTTCAATTTTGTTCAATTAAAATATTGAGGGACTAAATTGAAAAATATATTTAAAAAATATAAATCTATAAGTAGATTATTGATATGCTTATTAATAAACAAAATATTTAAGTGTAAAAAATTTATTATGTTAAAAAATATATATAAATATTTTCTTAATTGATTATTGATTCTAGAATATGTAAATTAATTTATATTTTTTACAAAAATTAAGTTTAAATACTCTTTCTATAAAAGAAATTGAAAAGAATTTTATACCTGAAGTCAAATTTAGATAAATAACTTATATGACATTAACATAAAATAATATAAAATAACCAAATAAATTCTTTTTTCTTCTATTTATAATAGTATAAAAATTTAAAATTTATTGAATTTAGTTTTTAACTTGAGCTAAAGTCAAATTAGCAAAATATGTTAATTTAGCTTTTTCTTTTAAAAAAATAAGAACGGAGATATCGAGTTAGCGATAATTTTTCATTTTGACTTGTTTAATGTGGACATGACAAATCTCTTATTACAACTATAAAATCTAAGCTCCACCAATTTATTTTTTTTTTATTTTTTAAGTTTTTATTTTGTTTAATATTTCAAGTTATATTTTTTAAGTTGAAATTTCTGGTTGATAAATTTAAATATAACTGTAAATATTTGTACCATTTTATTTTATTGACAAATTTTTTGTAGATCCAAGTTAATAATTTAAATTTAAATTTAACAGAATTTGATTGTGGTATTTAAATTTAAATATACTTATTTTATATAAAATTTTGAGTAAATTTAAATAAAAAGGTAAATTGGGTAAATGATGAATAACTGCAAAAGAACGTATATTTGTAAATTGTGAAAGTTGTAACTAAATCAACATATTTTGCTAATTTGATTAAATTTAAATAAAAAGTAAATTGGGTAAGAGTTGAATAATTTTAAAAGAATGTGCATTTATAAATTATGAAAGTTGTAACTAAATCAATATATTTAATCATTTTATATTATTTTATTTTAACATAATTCAAGTTATTCATCTAAATTTGACTTTAGATATGAAATTTTTTTAAAATTTTTTTTATAGGAGGAGAATTCAAACTTAATTTTTGTAAAAAAAGATAAATTAATTTACATATTCTACAATCAAATAATCAAGTAAAAAAATATTTATACATAATTTTTAACACCATAAATCTTTTACACTTAAATATTTGACGTATTGAAAAACATATCAATAATCTACTTAAAGATTTATACTTTTCAAATATTTTTTTCAATTTTGTTCAATTTAATCCACGTATTATATATTTTTAGTCCTTATGACGTGGCAGAATTTTTAAAAAAAATTTTTTTGATATGTCGCGTGGCATTGACATGTTAGTATGTCAGTGCCATGTCATCACATAGTGCCACGCGACACTACCACATCATTATTTGGTGTCATGTGACATGTCACGGCATCATCTCAAATGTTATGCCATCAAAATATAACACGTCAACATTGATGTCAGTGATGATAGCATTTTTTAACGGTAAAATTGGATACCGTTAGAGGGGACTAAATTGATGTAATTCCTAAAATCAAAGAAGTAAATTGCTTCGATTTTGAGTATAGGGACTAAATTAAATAAAATTAAAGAGTACAAGGACTAGAGGGACCTTTTGACCAATTAAAATAACATTTTAATTCTGTTGCTACTCTATGAAATCTAATTCTTGTCATTTTCGGTTTATTGCTTATATTTGGGATAAGTGCACATTTTTAATGAAATTGATAACATGTGGAAATTTATTAGAGACATTGTTTTTGTGTATCATGAAAACTAATGCTCTTATAGACTTTTTAACTAAATTTAGAATGGATCAACTAAAATCATAACTTTGAAACCCAAAAAGAAAATCATAAACTAGAATAATAATTAACAATAAAACTAACTGAATACCTACTTTGAAACATATTATGTCATTTTACTTTAATAAATATTGTACATGATTTACCTTATAACATTATTCATGGTAAATCACTAATAATAATCAATTCAATAAAAGTTAAAAATAAGATATTTAACAAATGGCACCATCCCAACTAAAGAGTATAAGCATTTCTACTGTGACCTTGGCTAAATTTTTAGATTTTTGAATGTTTTTGAGTTTTGACCATTTGCTTCAAAAGTAGTATTTGTCTAAGCTTTTCATGCAATTGTCTTGAAGCTTCCCGTTTTATGACTTTTACTATTAATTTCTAAAATTCAAACTCAAACATTCTCTTACTCATAATAGCTAAAAAGGGTCAAGTTGTCCCATCACGATTTTCTTACTGTTTGAACGATTTTGGTGACTACTAGCAGATACATTGGATGTTTGCCTTGAGGGAGGGAGCCTATTTTACCTTTTGATCCTCCAAAATTTTAAATTTTTTTTATATTATATAAAATTTTTAAAATTTTTTATATATTCTTTTAAGAATCTCTTTAAAATAATTTTTTATATAATAATTAAACAAATAAAGAATAATAAAATGATATCATATGCATCATTTAATTTTAACAGTTTTTTATGTTTTCTTCTTGTAATTTATATTATTATTTTTATTTATATTTTTTATTTTTATTCTATTTATATATATGCTTTAAATTTTTATAGATTTTTTTTTTCAAATTTTTATGAACCATCGGTCATATTTTTCTCTTTTTTATTTTGTCATATGTGGATTGTATCTTCTAGTTACTATATTTTATTTTCTATTATATCAATTTTATTTTCTATGATTTTAATCTTTAAAATATAGTAAATTATTATATAATTCTTAAATATAAGTTGAAGTATATCACTGTAGTTTAAAATTTTATCAATATATTATTTTTTTTATTAATCTTGATTATGTAAGAAGAAACTACCTTTAATATATCTTTTTTACATATTTTATGTTTTATATTCAGTTGAAAGGAAATTATTTGAATATATAGCCTTTCAACAATCTAAATCATATAAGATGAAATTTTCAATTCTGTATATTGTATTTAGCTAGTTGTGTTTTATGTATTATAGTTTTATATTTAGTATTATAAGGTTAAATAGAAATAAAATAAGAATACTGGAAGTTGACTATATTAATTTTCTTTCAAGTTTGATTAAAGTATGTGAAAGTTGAAAACAATTGATAAATTTTTTAAAAGAAAAAATATGATTCCTAAACAAATGGATACTTTTCAATATATAATTAATAATTGATTAATTATAATTCAAGAAATGTGGCCAAATACAACTTTCGGATTGTTGTAGGTAATTATTTCTTGATTTATATGTTATATAAAATTATTTTTTATTATCAATCTTTTAATTGTCAATTAAATTCAATATATTAATTTTTAATTTTTTAATTTTAATTTTTTTACTTTTAACCCTCCAACAAAAATTGATTAACTTCATCCTTATTTACCTAGGCTAGTCTGCCTGTTGGTTTGGGTAGTGTACTGTGTCGGAATGGTTGGCCTCAATGCTAACGGGTTGGCTGTTATAACTTGTCACGAACTTCGTACCTTTCTTTGTAAAATCCATAGTTATCATATTGAGATATGGAAATTTTATTTTTTAATATGGAATATGAAGTATGATATCTTAGAGTAAAATATGATAAAAAATTTTAAAGTTAATTATAAATAAAATTTATAGATATAAAATAAAAAATTTTTAAAAATATTATTTTTTTAATAAAATTGAGGGTTATAGGACATAAATTTAAAAGAGGTTTATTTTTTAATTTAAACCCACAACATATTCTTTTAACAATATACATTTTATAACATTTTTAATATATTTTAAATAAAATATATATTTTTCATATTAATTTATTAATTAAAAATTTAAAAACCCTTATCATGTTGAAGTCGAGGAATTCGATTTTTTTTTTACAATTTTTGGTTTAAAATTTAAATCTTAAAAATTAAAACTCATAAAAAAATAATTTTTCATGTTTTAATTAAAATAAATAAATAAAGTTTTAATAATTGATTAGACTTAAGCATATGAAAAACATATTGACCATAAGATACCTTAAGTTCTTATATTATAAGATATGTATCGTATATTGTATCAAACGTTTTTATACTGAACCAAATATGATACAGTTATTGATGTGTATCATTTCTTATTAATATCATAGCATACCATATTAATAATTATGTTAAAACTCATTAATTGATCAAGTTTTTTTCTCTCTTTATTTTTCTTTTTTATGTTTTTGATAAAATCAATGCAAATTCTTCAGATTTTGTTTAACTCTAATCCATTAAATTTTAAAATAAATAATCGGTCCTAAAATTCCAAGATAAGATTAAATTATTAAACTAGCAATGACCCTAAACGTCGTAACCCTTCTTTGAAACCAGTTTGCATGATCCTCTTTCGCCAGACGTATTCATCTTCGATCACTCAAAAATCCAAGATAAAGTATTTTTGTGGTACTTTTGAATTTTTAAAACCGGGAAATGTATAAAAGGACGATGAAGCCATGACTTGTAAGTTACTCCACATGGAAAAACGCGTAAAAGTACGCCCCACGTGGTAAGTCCGTACTGACACCAATGCTGTGGAATTGAAGTAGGGAAGTTATAAACTCAATTTGCTCTTCGTTTTATTCCATTCAGCAGTTTATTGTCCAAGTTGATTCCTTTGCTATCCTGCTCCTCCTCCTCTTCTCCTCATGGAAAAAATTGTATTATCTCAACTTCTTCTCCGTCATCATCTTCCCAATGGAAATATGATAATTTCTTGAACTTTAGTGGTGATTCATTTTT